TCATCATAGACTACAATATAGACTGTACGCTTTCTCCAGAAGAAATGATGGCGTTATGCATTTGTGTACCCTGGCATAGGAGGGTATATCATAAAGCCGAGGACTCCATTATATTCATCCTAAAATGTTGAGTTACAAACTGATTCAAGTCTTGGCCCATGTAATGCATATTCGGTTGTCAGGCCTTCCTATGACAACCCTCAAAATAGGAGGATTTAAAAGAATGTTATCAAGTTTTGTTTGGGCTCGAATGAAAGCTCCTAATATGGGTGTGTGATTTCAAATTGCGTGGAACCGTTGAGCGGATAACTCGGTGGGCCTAGCCATCTCCGACTCGAAATCTAGACAATCGACCAGGGCACGGCTTGTGAATTCAAGAGCGATAGGAATAAACGGCCCTCGTGCGGGTGATGTATCATCCATTGACAGGGTCATGGCTTTTCAAGAGATATGATAGTACATATGTAACCTTCGAATGTTCCAGAACCCGGTTATCAAATTTGAGTGCCAAGATATATTCCAAGGGGCTTAAAGTTCAACTTCGAAGAACTTTTGTTGCCAATGGAGGTCAACTGGCATTCTCTGCGGAAATGGTCAAAGTGGGCTGACGCATTTCCATTCTGAAGAATCAGGAGATCATTGAAATAGGAGTCAATAGTCAGGGGTGCTTAGAAGAGTGTACTTCATTCCCATATCACGTGGCACCACCTTACCGCCTCACCGTTACAACAGGCTTAGTTTTCCTCTTAGACCAAGGGAAATGGCGGTAACGAGGATAACTTGTTCTGACAGCCTGAGACTCCCAGATAGCCGTATTATCCCGTACACGCCTTATCCACTTGCAACAACCTTGGAACGGGTGTCTACCCCAAGGAGTGAAGTCTGGGTCCGGTGTGTCCTATACTTAGAATATCTGCGCCACTGGACTCAGCAAGGGAATCCAGTAGCCTTGAGCACTTGGACTACAATTGTATGCCTTTATGCTTTGCCACTGTTGTAATCAGTGTAATACAAGTAAAGACCACTAAAGTAACTAACCCGGTCAAGGTACGTGTTCCCCCCGTACCCAGAAGGGTCTGGGAGGCTCACACCCAAGATTGTCCACGCAATACTTTAGGTAGACAAGTTTAAAGGAATCAAAGACGGCGAGAAATTCATACTGAAAATAGTTCTGCCTTATTCTCACTAATTTACATATAAAAAAACGAGAAAATACCCCAAAATCTGTAGATCAGAGGGGATAAAAAGAGAGAGGCCTCAGGCAGCGCACAATCCCAGCCATCACAAACCCCTCTCCACTCTTCTCTCTCACTCTCTTCCTTCTTCCCTTCTCCCCTAATCCCAACTATATCCCCCCCTCTAACCTCATTCCATCTTTCTTTTCTTTTTTTCCTTCTCCCCCAGGTTCCTTGTTTATTCTGTCACAATGGAGGGTACGTTCTTCTTGATGTGGCCACATCAGCAGCTTCCCCGGAAGCTGCCCCCCCCCCCCCCTTCTCAGCTTCGAATCTTGCGAATGAGAAACTAACCCGTATATCTTCTTATAGAAGAAGTTGCTGCTCTCGTCATCGACAATGGGTATGTGCTATGCTCTCTCCCCCGGAGCTTCTGGCTTGTGTTTGGGCTTGGTCGTCAAACCAGCCCGGTCGCGGTCGTCGCCACCCCTAATCCGCCACGACGGCAGATGGAATCCATCTCAATGGCTTTCCACATCCCTCCACAACGGCCAGATGGCGCTCCAAGGACTACAAGAACTATGATACTGATGATTTGCGATGTAGTTCGGGTATGTGTAAGGCCGGTTTCGCCGGTGACGACGCACCACGAGCTGTCTTCCGTAAGTTCAACCCCACAGAATATGACACCCCTCCCTTGCGAAGGCCGCCATCCCACCAACCCTTGCGTCGGATGGCTTTTCCCCTCTTTCGCTTGGGAATAGCCTTGAGTATGAGGATCAAATAACTGACAAAATTCAACAGCCTCCATTGTCGGTCGCCCCCGTCACCATGGGTAAATAATCCCCCCCCCTTTTTTTTTTACTCATTTTGGCTATATATTCCATATACAGCCAATTTGATCCTCAATGAAGCGAAAAAATACTAACATGGGCACAGTATCATGATTGGTATGGGTCAGAAGGACTCCTACGTTGGTGATGAGGCACAGTCCAAGCGTGGTATCCTCACGCTCCGTTACCCCATTGAGCACGGTGTTGTCACCAACTGGGACGACATGGAGAAGATCTGGCACCACACCTTCTACAACGAGCTCCGCGTTGCCCCCGAAGAGCACCCCATTCTCTTGACCGAAGCTCCCATCAACCCCAAGTCCAACCGTGAGAAGATGACCCAGATCGTGTTCGAGACCTTCAACGCACCCGCTTTCTACGTCTCCATCCAGGCCGTTCTGTCCCTGTACGCCTCCGGTCGTACCACTGGTATCGTTCTCGACTCCGGTGACGGTGTCACCCACGTTGTCCCCATCTACGAGGGTTTCTCTCTTCCCCACGCTATCTCGCGTGTCGACATGGCTGGCCGTGATTTGACCGACTACCTGATGAAGATCCTCGCTGAGCGTGGTTACACTTTCTCCACCACCGCCGAGCGTGAAATCGTCCGTGACATCAAGGAGAAGCTTTGCTACGTCGCCCTCGACTTCGAGCAGGAGATCCAGACCGCTTCCCAGAGCTCCAGCCTCGAGAAGTCCTACGAGCTTCCCGATGGACAGGTCATCACTATTGGTAACGAGCGCTTCCGTGCTCCCGAGGCTCTGTTCCAGCCAAACGTTCTTGGTCTTGAGTCTGGCGGTATCCACGTCACCACCTTCAACTCCATCATGAAGTGTGATGTTGATGTCCGTAAGGATCTGTACGGCAACATTGTCATGGTAAGAAAAGCCCCCAGAGTTGAACCTGTACAAGATCCCCACTAACATGTACCTCTTTTTTCTAGTCTGGTGGTACCACCATGTACCCCGGTATCTCCGACCGTATGCAGAAGGAGATCACTGCTCTTGCTCCTTCTTCCATGAAGGTCAAGATCATTGCTCCCCCCGAGCGCAAGTACTCCGTCTGGATCGGTGGATCCATCCTGGCCTCCCTGTCGACCTTCCAGCAGATGTGGATCTCCAAGCAGGAGTACGACGAGAGCGGTCCTTCCATCGTTCACCGCAAGTGCTTCTAAGCTTCTTGCAGCACTTTACTACTCGTATTCGCTCGTACTTTCCTAGTGTATCAAAAAGCAGGATGGAGGCACTGGTGGATTGCAAGCGTTGTTGGACTCGCATTATCAAGCGGATAGCCTGAAAATGGAATCTCGATTTTAGTGGAATAGAGTCGGTCGTTTTCTTTTTGTTACTCTTTACCTTACTCTTTACCTCGATCTCTCTATCCATCCATCTCTGCTTTGAAACATTTTATTACCTTTCCAATTATCCGTTTTTTCACTCATACCAATCCGTTGCCCCGTCCACCTCTCTGATTGTTTTACCTGAACGGGTCTCTGGCGCTACGGCGACAATAGTCTACCTGTATGGCGAGTATGTATATGAAATTGGTTGGCTATAGGGCTTAGGTTGCGTTTTTCTTTTCTCTCGACGTCTTGAACGTCTGTCTTTGTTTTAGCCCTTGCGTTGTCATCAACTAAATTGCCCGCCTTTGTCCGTAGTTTTAACATGACTTTGACTTGAAATCTTCCACTGGTCTCTTGTATTCTCCTAGAAAGCTGTCGAGAAATCTAACGCTTCTTGTTAAATCATGTCTTCTATACATTAGGCCAATTACACTCTTGACTTTTACAGAACATTTCTTGGCCTTTCTATATTAGATCTTTAGTCCAATATATGTCTTTCGCATCATTCAATCATTCCATAAGATATATGCTGGACACTAAATTGGCAAACTGGATAGGAAGCAAGTAGGTATAGCAACCTTGAACATACAATCCCTCCTTCCACTTCGTCACAAAAGGACCACCAGATCTAATACGTATATTACCTTCGAATTGAACTCGTCTTCTCTACCGTTCTCACTAGGTCTCCTTACTTGATTATCAGCAGGGACATGCTCGTTATTAGAATCAGCGATTCGTATCACCAACTATAGTCTTGAATGTCCACGAGTGAATATGATCTTTTAATAACCCGATGGTTTGCTAGCCCATGGTCTGCTTCGTGTAGAGATCTATATAAACAACAGAATGTCTACATTGAAGCTATTGTAGTTTAGTGAATGTTACATATATATATGTATACACAGAGAATGAAAATAGATGAAGCAATTGAGAATATTCTGGCGTCTTCATTGGACGGGTATGTGTCATAGGGCATATACTAGGAACTGTAGATTTATATAGCCGTCATCCTGACGAGGATCACAACCTTTTCCCCGGGAGGCATGGGTCATTGTCACCCTGCTGTTCTTGTCAGCATTGAGTTCGAAATAGTTTTGGTCGGGATGGTGTAGGTCGAAGATGAATGGGGCTATAGCGGCAGATGGGAGATTAAGAGGGATGTGAAAGTGTGGAGGGTTAGGAAGAGGCGAGGACCAGAGGGTGATAGTGTAGACTCAGTGAGCCAAAGTTCTGCTTTGAGGGATTTGGATGCTATGCAAGGCCCTTTCCCTGCAAGTACGGAAAGATCAGGAATGAGAACCTAAGAGAGTTGCCCTGATATAGAAAAAAAGGATTGAAGTATAAACTCAGAATTACAGCACACATATGGTATATACATCAATGGAATTCTTTTAAAACAGTATATATAATTTCATGCTTCATGCATCATGTAAAAAAACCTGCATTAGTTCGGGACACATCCAAAAGCCCTATATTATGATAGGCCCCAAGCAGAGAAGAAAGACGGGGAATACGAAGAAACCAGAAGAAACAGTAACAAAAAAAATCTATAAGATAGATAACCCAGGCAAATCATTTTCTCCATCCATATATAAAGCATCACGCATCAACATCACCAACATCAAAATTTTAAAGTCAAGATCGTAGAAATTACGAAGACCAAGACTCAAGTCCAGACAGAACACAGCCCTCTTCACCCTCGCCGCGAGCACGCAGCTCACCAACGCGGTAAACAGACTCACCAGCAGCCTCGAAGGTCTGACGGATAGCGGCCTCGGAGGCGGGCTCGACAGCAATGATCATACCAACACCACAGTTGAAGGCACGAGCCATCTCAACAGAGGAGACGTTACCGGCACGCTGGAGCCAAGTGAAGACGGAAGGCTGGGCCCAGGTGCTAACGTCAACCTGAGCAGTGAGGGTATCGGGGAGCATGCGGGGGATGTTCTCAGTGAGACCACCGCCGGTGATGTGGGCAAGACCCTTGATAGCATTACCGTGGGTGTTCAGTGCGCTGAGGATGGACTTGACGTAGATGCGGGTAGGGGTGAGGAGGGCACGGCCGACGGAGACGCCGGCGTCGAGACCGGGCATGGAGAAAGGTGCGGGGTCGGTGTAGCTCAGGCCGGCACGCTCGACGATCTTACGGACGAGAGAGTAGCCGTTCGAGTGGGGGCCGGACGAGCCGAGGGCGAGAAGAACATCGCCGGAGCGCATGTTTTCTGTGTGCGGGAGGATGGCGCGAGCATTGTCGCCCGTGGTGTTAATAGCGCCGACGGCGGCACCGACGGCGTCGTAGGAGTCGTCGACGAAGAGACCGGGCATCTCGGCGGTCTCACCACCGATCAGGGCGCAGCCAGCTTGGACACAGCCCTCGGCAACACCGGTGACGAAGGCCGCAGCAGTGGGCACGTCAAGGTGACCGCAAGAGTAGCAGTCCAGGAAGAAGAGGGGCTCGGCACCTTGGACAACAAGATCGTTGACGTTCATGGCGACAAGATCGATACCGACGGTATCATGGATGCCGATTGAGTGGGCGATCTTGAGCTTAGTGCCGACTCCGTCAATGGCTCCAATTAGGGTTGGCGAGTGAGGGTGGTAGACGGAGTTGGCAGCGGGCAGGGAAAAAGGCCACCGAAGCCACCGATGACGGCGTCAGTGCCGGGGCGCTTGGTACGGCGGACAGAGCTCTTGATCTGGTTAACGAGCTCGTTGCCGGCGTCGATGGAGACACCGGCTTGGGCGTAGGTGAGCGAGGTGCTGGCGGTCTGGCGGAAGGCGCGGTGGGCAATGTCCTTGCGGTAGAACATGTCCTCAAAGCTGATGGTCTTGATTCCTTCATAACTCTTAGCGACGGCCTCCTCAAGGGTTGAGGCGGTAGCCGTGGAGGCGATGACACGGCCTCCAGAGGTTTGCAACTCGTTGCCGGACAAAATTGTGCCAGCGTGGAAGATGAGGGTTCCAGCAGGCTCGGGGGCCAGAGTGATAGTCTTGCCCTTGGCATAAGCGTTGGGGTAGCCGCCGGCAACAGCAATGACGGTGGTGGAGAAGTTGGGCTCGATCTTGATCGAGACACCGTCCAGCCAGTGATCAGCACAGGCCACCATGATCTGTGCAAGATCGGTGTCCTTGCTGAGCAGAGGCAGCAGAGTCTGGGTCTCTGGGTCTCCACCGCGGACGTTGTATTCAAGGACCTTGGGTCCGTTCTTGGTCATCATGAGACCGGTGAACAAGATACCAACGAAGGGAAAGCCTGGACAGGATTAGCAACATGCTTTGGGCATGTATATTTTAATAAAAACGTACCGTCCTTTCGCATTCCGTCAACGGAAGGCTGAATGATGGTCCGGTCAATCTCATCCACAACCTCCTTCGGCGCAATGCGGGTAGGCGCGTAGCAGCCCATGCCACCGGTATTGGGGCCCTGATCGCCATCGAAGATGCGCTTGTGGTCTTGCGCTGGAGGAAGCGAGCGGATAGTATAACCGTCACTGAAAGTGAGAATACTCAGCTCATCACCCTCCAAGCACTCCTCGATCACGACCTCGTCGCCAGCCTTGCCAAACTGGTGGTCCACCATCATTTCCTTCAAGGCCTTGTGGGCCTCCTCTTTGGTAGTGGGCATGATCACACCCTTACCACCAGCCAGGCCATCGGCCTTGATCACCACATTGTGCGATACAGAGTCAAGGTATCGACGTGCGGACTCGTAGTCAGAGAAGTTTCCGAATTCGGCTGTGGGGATCTGGTGGCGCTGCATGAAGTCCTTGGAGAAGGTCTTGGAGCCCTCCATGCGGGCAGCAGCCTTGGAGGGACCGAAGCATCGAATTCCGACTGTTTTCCAGAGCCATTGTTAGAATTATTCAAAGCAATTGGCGTAAAGACCAGGAGAAAAAACGAGGGGGGGGAAAAAAAAAAAAAAACAGAAAAGAAAAGAAAAGAAAAGTGGCATGTGACTCACCAGCCTGGAAATAACCCTGGATGCCATCAACGAGAGGTGCCTCGGGGCCTGGCACCACGAGGTTCACCTGGTTTTTCTGTGCAAATGCCACGAGGCCGGGGTAGTCGTCGCCCTTGACATTGGCATTGGTGATCTTGCTGTTGCCCCGGCCTGTGCCACCGTTTCCGGGAGCGACATAGATGATATCGACCAAGGGGGACTCGCTCAGCTTCCAGGCGAAGGCATGCTCACGGCCACCATTGCCAACAATGAGGATGCGCAATTGTTCGGAGGCCATGGTTGGAGCTGGGTCTCGACTATGGGTGGTGTTAGCAAGTATGTAAGAAATCCCCGCGGGGTATGTAGGTAGTGCCCCTCCACAAGGAACGTGAGTCATATAGCAATGGGATGGGGTGAATGATTGAAAAATACTTGGTAATAAGAAAAACCAGCAAATTTCTTACCTCACGGAGACCTGATAATCAACTTGAAGCAACTTGTATGCGAGAATGGAGAGTCCAAAGATGTTAAAGTTTATTCAACTTTTTTTCTGCCCTCCGGCTTGGTGTTTCTCCGACCCCAGAAATCTACCCATGCGATCTCGGCCGGTGAGTATTTTATTAGTTTGAATTTGTATTTGTATAAATTTGAATTGAATGGACTAGATAGTTTATTATGTATGACTTTATATGTCTTATATGTCTTATATCATACTAGATAAGAGTGCAGGATTAGCATTACAATTGCAATACTCTACATAACCTTGGGAAGTCTTGAACATTGATATTGTATATATGTACGAAGTATGTAGTTTTATAACAGTCTAATACACTCTCAATTGAAATATAAAACATATAAAAAAAAACAATTTCCATTCCTCTGTACTCTGGACTGTATTTTCTGATATATATTGCCTCAGGCATCGAGATAACAAAGCGGTGACTCCAATCTTCTGGCAGAAAAAAAACCCGGAGAGGCAATTCGCCCCGGTGGCTTATTGACGGCTTTCTTGAATTCTTGACTTCTCGTCTCGAAGTACATTTGGGAGACTAATTTTATACCCATTCCCAAAGTATCCCTCGACCGTTGACCTGAATGCTTCGGACCTCTTTGCGGTCTGTCTCAGGCCCTTCAAGCCGACATGTTTGTCTCTCCTGTCTAGCTCGCCCCGGTGCGCTCGGTTTGCGCCAGTTTCATCGCATATCTGCCCTCCGTACCGATTCAGGCGAAACCAAGCCGGAAGCCAATTCATTTGACGCGTCGATCCAACCTCCAGCGCCACCGCCGCCCAATGTATGTCCTCCATTCCAAAGTACAAAGTGAGAACAAGTCCTGACAGAGTGTGCTATAGGGTCAGACTCCAGAGATAAAAGATGGCGCTTCTTCCGAACCCCAGAAATCCTCGCGGCCGCCTGATTCACCGAGGGTACTCACTGCTGCTACATGGGCTCAGATGAATAAACCGCAACGAAGGAATTACAGAAACAGGCATAGCGCGTTGTTCAACAAGTTCAGGGAGTCAATGTTAGCCAACAGAGAAATAACACTCAAAGAAGCAGTGGAGTTAGAAATTGCGCGGACCAAAACAACAGAGCAAGAAGCAGCACCGTTGGAGGCCCCCATCCCAGAGACCGCACTTTCAGAGGCAACCCCGTCAAAGGAAGCTCCATCAGAGGCAGTACGGGTGGAAGCAGACCAAATCAAGGCCTTGCAACAGAAGATGAGGGCAACGGAATTGGAAGCCAGACGGGAAAGAAAGGCCAAATTCAAGGCGGAAAAATCGCTGGCCAATGCTAAACAGGAGGCTAAAATATTGAAGGGAAAGGAGAAAGAAAGCCAACTCAAGGCCGAGATTGCAACAGACGGCCCAGCAGATACGCCAGCGGCCAGTGAACCCAAGGAGACGCTCAACTTGAAGTCCACTAGTAATGTGGTGGCCCAAATATTGGAAACTAGCTCCGAGAACGGTGTTGCAAGTCTGAATGAGCCATCACTCGAGGCCGAGAGGGAAGAGAAGGAGAAGGAGAAGGAGAAAAAGAAGAAAGAGGAAGAGGAAGAGGATGGGGGTGAGTGGAGTTGGTCGCCTTGGGACGATAAGAGTCAATCCCTTCCTTTCCTTGAGGATCACGTTACGTCTAGGGACCGCGGGTCTCTTAACTCAAAGGACCGGAACGTGCACTTGAAAGGTGAGTTTCGAGCACATAAATCTGTTGAACTTGGGCTAATTTGATACAGAGGTGCGTACCCCCATGCCTCCTGTCCCACGCGTCGCCTTTGGTCTCGACCGAGTGCTTTTCAAGTGAGTTGTTGAGGTTACCCTATTATTGATCGATATACTAATAGCAGACAGCCCCGGTGTCTACCAGCTACGCGACCCTCGGTCTCTTGTCTACAATTTCGACCCCTACCTAGACCAGATCATGCCCGTGTCGGAATTTGACTTTGATACCTTGAAGCCGTACGTCACCTCCTCTAAAGATGTGACGGCTTGCGAAATGACCAAGAAACACGAAAAGAAGTACTATGGCTCGTCCTCGAGCATGACTTCAGTTCTCTCTCATTTCCATTATCTTCTGTCCGCGTGGCGGCCTGTCGATACTTCCAAACTTACTCAAAGTTACGGAGACCCTCTACGCTCCTTCACCCGTCTCCTTCGAGCGCCGACTGCCATGTTCCTCCGTTATAATGAGAAGGAGGATATCTACGCCATTGATGCCGATAAGGAATACGACACAGCTAATATTCTTATGCACCTGGGCAAGTCAATGGAGAAGCAACTCACGCTGCCAAAGGAAAAGTTTGAACGCTACCGCCGCAGCGATGCGAACAAGATCACTGCCGAGGAAGAAGCAAGCGTCCCGGAGTCATATCACTACAGCACCATAGGCAAGTTCCTTCTGCGATCGCAACTCGACGCCTACGACCCCAGACTGCCAGGTACTGGCATGTTCGACTTGAAAACACGTGCGGTAGTTTCGATTCGCATGGAACCCTTGGAGCACAAGCGCGGAATGGGCTACGAGATCAGACGCCGCTTTGGAAAGTGGGAGTCTTACGAACGCGAATACTTCGACATGATCCGCGCCGCCTTCCTCAAGTATTCCCTGCAGGTACGCGTTGGCCGCATGGACGGCATATTCGTCGCATATCACAACACAGAGCGCATTTTCGGTTTCCAATATATCACCCTCGAAGAGATGGATGAGGCTCTACACGGCTCGTCCAACACAGAACTCGGCGACACAGAATTCGAACTGAGTCTCGGTCTGTGGGAGAAGATTTTGGATAAGGCAACGGAGAGATTCCCCAAAAAGTCTCTGCGTTTCCACTTTGAGACCTGCGAGGGTCCCACCCCCTTCATGCACATCATCGCCCAACCCGTGACGGACGAACAAATCGACGCCATCCAGTCAAAGAACCAAGCTCAAGTCGATGCCATCACGGAACGCCTCTTCTACCCGGATCGGTTCGATGGCAGCGAGGCGACGGAATTCGAACCCGAAGCCGAAGCCGAACCTGAACCTGAACCGGAAGCCGAACCCGAACCTCCAAAAGAGAATACGGAAGCCGAAGCGAAATCCATCGGCAATTCCCTCGCCGACGCCCTCTTCCCAATAGATCCAGCCGAGAGCGCTGCCGAGCAAGCCGCTGAGCTAGAATACGACACCTCATTCGAGCTCCCCGGCCTCAACCCAGACTCCATAGCCGAACCGAAACCCAAACCCAGAAAGCCCAGATTCGTGCCCAACCCCAACTTATGCACCGATTACGACGAGAACTTGCTCGCTATGACACTCGTCATAAATAACAAAGTGAACGGAGCTCCAGTGGAGCGACCGGGACACTTCACCAAGTCTGATAAATGGACGATTGACTACGAGCTCGACGAGATCAGTGTTGAGCAGGGCAATGCTGTTCTGCAGGCTGTTAAGAGACGTCGCAATCTTGCTCTGAGGAAGAACGTGCAAGATCATTCGAATGACTTTTTCGCGGGTTTGCAAAAGCTTGCTGAGAAAGGACGTGCTTTCCGGAAGCGTTTGGATAAGATTGATCGTGACCGTGGGATTCTTGTTTATAAGGATTCTTGTGATATGGATGTTTAAATTCTGGGGTGGAGATGGAGGATTGGGGGATGAGATTGGAATCCCTGTTGTAAAGTATTAGATTAATTCCTCTCTCGCATTTCCCCTGTACTGTATATTGAGATAGTTTAGGTATACATTTCGTGGCGTTGTTTTATTACATAGTTGGACTGGATGCGTTCTAGGGTTTTGGTTGGATACATATTTTGGGTGTTCAATGATGTACAACTATCAAGTTTATATTTTATATTATGCAACTCTCCAGATACGCTTAAACTACAAAGTATTGAGACTCAATCAAACGGAAAAGGAACAATGGTGTTTCAATGCCTATCCAAACAGTATTTAAGCCAGAGCGAGGAACAAGCGCAGAGAAAACACCACAATGAATAGCAAATAGCCCAAAGCCCCAGCCCCAATAAACATTAATGCACGCAAGCCACTAAACCGCAAAATGAGGACGAGACCTTCCAATAAGAGTAAGAGAGCAAAGAACAACAGGTACGATCAAACGGATAGGAGGATATCGATTGCCTTGGTAAGAGATATTGGGATATGTAATTGAAAATGAGTAATGAGTATTGAACGCCTGGAGGATGCGGTGTCTCTGTAAAAGAAATTGGAACGCCAGGGTATCAGTGCCGACTGGCCGGTTTCGAGAAATGGGAATTGGATGGGGGTTGGGGTGATAAGTTATGAGTTAATGAGTAAGATAAAATATGGTTCACAGGGAGAAGAAGAAGAGGGTAGGGGTATGCAATCGAAACCTGGTTCGTGGTATATATGTACTGCAAGAGCCAGGCTGCGTTTCGTGTTGGGGTGAGGTGTGGAGGATGCTGTACAAGGTAGAAGAGGGAGGTATTTTGATGGAGGTAAGGGAGGCTATTGGAGCTCTCCCAAGTCAAGCTTTGGTGGTGCCCAGTCTAGCTGAGGCGGCTTGTCACTGTTGACATACACATGCGAGGGGCGCACTTCATCCGCACGGCGACGTTCTCTCAGCGCGGTGCCGCTGAGGAAGCCTCTTAGGGTTGACGAGGCGACGCCGTAGGCGCTTCGCGTACTGCCGGCGCCTATTGAGGCGTTGCTGGAAGAACTGCGTGCGCTGCGAACGCTCTCGGCCTTCCGGACTGCTGGGGGCACGGCTGGAACCGGGATAGCCAGGCGAGAGGTTGAGGTCGAGGAACCATGACCGGATGGAACAAATTGTGCAGGAAGGGCAGTGTGAGGGCGGGGGGTATTAGATGGAATGCGTTTTGGTTGAACGGGGGTGGACTCGATGTTCGAAGAGGACTGGGATGGGGTGTCAGATGCCTCTGAGAGCCGGATGGCAGCAGGAGACTCGTCTGGTAGTGACGACGCTCGGATCTCATCTGCCGATACGGACACGTCGAATTTGAGATTGTCAAGCATCGTTCCCAGGCTCGCTGCTGTTCTAGGTCGTCCATCGCTGGAAGCATCATCATCAATTTCCTCAATCCCATGGGCAATGTTGTAGTTGCGGCGGAGATATCGATGAAGCCGGGCAACTTCCGAATCCCATCTCTCATTCAGAGACCGCAAGACTAGCTCAACGTTGTGGTTGGCAAATGGAGAGTTTTCCAAGGCTGAAGCGACACTAGGCGGCGGTGCTTTGCTCAGTCTGTGCCCTTGCCCCCTTGGCCAACGCTCATCGCTGCATACAGAGAGCGACGGACCGAGTTTGCGGTGGAAGTTTGGTTGCTATTGCCAGACTCCCATCGAACATTATCAACCTCTCGGCGTACTTTATCCAGTGACAGGGTCCGATCCCGGTCCATACAGGAGAGAGTGAGAAGGAAGTGATTGCACCGAAGGCCGTTGACCAAAACCGTAAAGGATTGCAGATTGATATCATTGTTCTCACAATGTACTTCACGCAGCGAATCATTCTCCTCTAAGACAGAGGCAAGCGTATTCGCACCTTGTAGACCGAGTTTCTGGTGCTCAATTCTCAGGACTTTGAGAGATTTGTTTTTCTTCAGGCCAGTCAGCGCAAGATTGAGGCCAATGCCGAAGCGTGCAACATCAAGATGCGCATTGTCACCGCTAATGTCCAAAGCCTCAAGAGTCTCATTCTCCTCGAGCATCACCTGCAATGATCGGCAGGTCTCAGGGCTAGCATCGTATGGGAGGGAAGCTTTCGAGATATCCAGGAACTTGAGGGTGCTGTTCTTCCGAAGTGAATCCACCATTTGACGGAAATGGTCTTCTTTCTTGAAGTCAATCATGCGCATTGACAGATGCGAGGGGGTTTGATTCTTCGCAATAGCATTGAAAATATGAGAGCAGCCATTGTCAAGGCGGTTCTCATTGACATGCAGATGGAGACTGCGCGGGGAATCAGGCCCAACGGACATTGAGTGCATAAACATAGCCACGTCTTCTCCGGTCAGACCACATTGATCAAGACGAATCACACGAAGATTGCGAGAACGATCGCTGGCCAGGTAAGTAGCAATGGCATCCACACTCTCGCGGTTCAAAGCCGTCCGACTGAGAGCCAGCTCTTCGAGTCGCCAGTTGAACAGCATTTCGGCCGTGATGAGCGGGTCGGTGCCGGATGTCCGTGAGATGCGGGATAAGTTGATTTTGCGGATTTGTCCAAAGTAGCCAATGTATTGCTGGAGTACATCGGGATTCAATCGGCCCTGCACGCCTGAGATGTTGATCGCCTCGAGTGTTGATTCTTGTGCGACGATAGTCGACAAAAGAAGATCTAGATCATGCACGGATAATCCACAGTCCCCGACCTCCAAAGCTCGCAGGTGACTACGCCTTTGCGAAGCCGCATCGACGAGATAGTCTAGATCCGACTCACCCAGCTTGATGCCGTTGAGCACAACCCAGTCCACGCTGGTCAATTCTCGGCGGCACACGGGGAAGATCGCTTCTGGAATCCCACAGCCTGGGTCACGAGTACCCTTGTCGAGAGTTGGTGTTGGTATCCTCGTAAGGCAGTAAGAGAAGTCGAGTCGGCGCAGCCATTTGCTCTTCAGAGCTAAAGCGCGCACCTCTTGCGAGAGAACAGTCAGGTTCGCCTGACCTGGAATGTGCACGGAGGCACCTCCTCGGTCCAGATGGACGTCGGGATCCACCCCGTGAATATCACGAATGCCCTGCAATGCATCAAGATTGATCCCGCGGAATGAAATTGACCGGAAGAATTCATTATAGCGAAGTGTGCGCATGACCGCAATGAGTTCTAAAGCGGTGTACCGTGGGGTTTTGGGGGAAGCGGGCTTCAGAAGACGGAAGCATGGAGCGTCCTCGCATTCCTGATCGATTGTGTATCGAATATTTGATGTGTCGATATCATAACTGGCGGAGTAGGCGACCAGCGTTCGGTCGAAGCATCCAAAATCTTCATCTAAGGCAACAGGCGGGAAGTTGTCGTCATTTTGCAGTTCTTTCGGAACAACGAATTCGTACGGCTGTCTTATCCACAATGGACGGAGATATTCAGTATGTTGTCGAATCCAGCAAGCGACTTCAACAGAATGAACGGAGGCCAGGAAAACATTGAATGATTTCTTGAGAGGAACCCTGAAAGTCAGATGCAGGCTATCGTCGCCGTACTCCATCGACAAACCAGTCAGGTTCATCAGACCAAACGAAGTACCGGACTCCCAGTCTGATAGGGATACGACCGATGATCGATTGGTTGTCTTCTGCATGGGGAGCAGATGAAGCTTGTGTGCGCCAATGGCAAGATAGCACCCCGTGGGCGACAGTTTGGTCAGGTCATCAGAGGAAGAGCGGGTGATTGACTTGCTGGAGGCGATTTGAATGACCCGGAACATGCGGAACACCTCCGGGTCATAATCTCGCTCGTGTTCCAGCATACGCGTTACATACTCAATCGATCCCCTGTTAAACGGCATTGGACAATTGGCTCTAGCCATCTGGGCGGCTTGGCGAATGCCCACCATCCAGAGATTCAATTCCTGCAGATCAGATGTCTGCATTTGAACCAATGTAGCTTTGTGTGTGCGCTCGTCGAGATAGGCCACTTCAACCGATGGGGACAATCGCGCATCCTCCAGCATGTAGACCGCAATTATGCTGTTTAATGGGATTCCGGCAGATGAATCTCCAGTGGCCATTAATTGCATGTCCTGCAGAGAACTGACTGAAGCCACCGATTGGCGATGGGAAGCCGGAGCTCGGGTATAAGAAGCGGAGATAGAACCAAAGACATCGGCGGCTTTTCCTTGGTTCTTGAATCGGATGAGGTGCGTATCCGTCAGGACCAAATATTGACTCTTTTTTCTCCACATGCCTCCAGTCGTTTGAACCTCCCCGTAGTGGAGGATTGCAGATGACCAGATCCCATTTCGGGGACTGGCCATGGTTTGCTCATCCACCGCCGAGCCAACGGAGGCACTCATATGTTCATCGTCCTCCCATGAGTGCAATGACCTCAGAGATCCAAACACCGAGGTTCGCTTTTTCTGTAGCGACTTCCTCCGCGGGCGAGGGGTTTCAATGACGGGTGTGGTTGCTGACCAGCCGGCGGTGTCGGAGCCAGCTGTCCCAGGGCGACGGTTATTCGATCCATCGGACCCTCTGGTGGGACTGTGAGAGCGACCGAAGAAGCCAGAATTCCGTCGGGTTTTCTTGTCTCGGGTCAAGGTATCGTCCGAGGGTGTTCGATCATGGAGTGGAGGCCGGAGGGAGGTTGATATTGTGAGGGATGGACTGAACACGCTCAGGCTCTTTCTTCGTTGTCGTTTGCCGATGATTTCAGCCATGTCGGGTTTGGGGAGTGGGAGTGGCACAGAAGGGGGAATTGCGGATGGAATAGGCGCGAGTGTACTGAGAAAGTAATCTCTCATTGACGACCTCAACGTCGTTCGTACTAAATCAATTAGCTTGAAACGTCATGGCGGGCAATATGGAAAGGAAGCGGAGAAAGAATGAGGGGAAATGTACATACTGCAGACTGTCACAGCGCCATGAGAAGCAATTAGCAATTGCTAAAAGCCAGGAAAAATCTTCCGGTCAATGTAGGACCAGTCGTTATATCTAGGATAGCTCCCACAATCTTGTCAACAATGCGAAAGTGACGGTTGCGGAAGGGAGAATCCACAATATCAGTATCAGGCAAAGAAGTCTGTGATTTGATAGGTCGTAGATCAGGGAATCTGGTTGAATGCGGAAGTGAAATGAAAACAGTTTGAATTCACAGGGATAACCCTCAATGGGAGAGGGAGAGAGAGAGAGAGAGGAAAAAGGAGGAATGGGAATAGAGAAATGGACGGATGCAGTCCAACTGTAACGATCAAGAGATGTTTCAGCCGGTTTATTTTTTTTTCTCCCTATTCTTTTCTATTGTTAATTTAATTATTATTTTTTTAATTAATGTTCTTTTTTAGCGGTTAAACTTGCTTATATTTAAGCTATTAAATTAAATCTATTCGATATGCCCGCTTATTTACACCCAAATAGTAAGAAACCTAAGACACGCGTTCATGATATCTCTACACACATCTCTACATAAGTACCACGTAGGAGGCGCACTAAATTTATATAGCGCCGATATAGAGGGCTACTCCGTACAGGGATTAGTGAGAACTAATTTAGACTTCTCTTCGGTAAACATCTTCGGTATACTAAGTGTCATCCTGCTTTATACATAAGCATAGAAGCTACCATATGCCCCTATACGATCTACACTGCAATTAACAACACATTATAGGTTCAATCTTGGGATCCACCCCCAAAATATGATCGGCGTTTACGGCACTCCACGATGCTGCTGCTTCCGTAGGTTCCGTAGGGGTAACTGATGTCTTGGGCCCACGCGAAAAAAGGAGATCACAATAGATCATCCTGGCAATCAGGGGGAATATCCCCAGAAACCTGGCGTCATCGATGACGGAGTTTCAAGATCGGCGATTGATGAACACAGTTAGAAAGTATTGGCCTCCATTCTGCGAGGCCCTGCAGGGTTGGGAAATGACTGGGAAATGAGATTCAGCTGATCCGGAGGTTCCGACAAAGGTGTATTGTGTCCAGTGGAAATGTCCATGCTCCAAGCCCAAGCTCGTATTGCTGCAAAAACAAGTGGCGATATCTCTTGAAGCTCTTTATCGGCGATTACCCTCGGCTCTTTCAGCCTCCACTCGCTCCGCACGTTTGATCCGTCGAACTAGCTCAATGTATTCCGTCACACGTTTCTCTTGCCAGATACAACCGCCCAGAGTCATAGCCGCAACTTGTATGAAGACCTTAAACTGCGGCGTCAGACCGCGGTAGACACGGGACCCCGGGGATATCCAGCTTGAGAATCCCTCTAGGGGGCGGTGGAAGAGTCGTGAGCGGAGATAATCACGGGAGAAGATGGATGGGCGTGGACGAGGTTGTGTCGCGGGATATGCGGGCGGAGTTGGCGCAGAGAAGACGAAGGGGTGGGGTAGAGAAAGAATCATATGGGCTAAAATGGACACAGAGCCAAACTTGAGGATATTAGCGATCGCACTAGGGCTTTTTTTTTTTAATTAAGGGTCTGGTTGCTCACGCGGAACACGCCGGTCATGAAGCCCTGGGCGGCTATCCAGGAGATTTCCTCCGGGGGTTCAATGCCGCCCATTTTGTTGGATGATGCTGGCATTCTGATATTTACAGTGAGTGTATGGTGAACAAGATGCACCAGCCTGGCCTGGGAAAGGAATTCAGAATTCGGGATTGAAAGCTCGGGATTTGATGTCAGTCCTTATCGACGCCGAGCTCGGCGAGACGATAAACAAAGTAGAGACAATGCCCAAAGGGAGAGGTGTGTTTCAGGGAAATGGCAATATTAAAGACAGGTTATCAAGGACGTCAAGAATAAAAAGCTGGACCAGCCAGTGTCTTAAGAACACCTACCCACCTTTAAGTCTCAAGTGCATCTCCCCCATACTTTAAAAAGCGGATCAACAATTCTCCAGCGGACGAGTCAGACAAAAAAGAAATCCGATTATCGCAACCATCTCCAAGACACCGACGCAATTCAATTTCCAGTCAATTCGACCTCCAGATCCTAAATTCAAAATGACCCTCACCGCACGTACCGCGACCCTCTCCCGGTCCACCAACGAGACCAAAATCCAAATCTCCCTCTCCCTAGACGGCGGCGTCCTCCCACCCTACGAACCCTCAACCCACTTCCCCGCCCCAACAGACCCCAAAGAAGCCGAAGCCTCCAAGAAAGGCATTGTGCCATCCAAAGATGCCAGCCATGCCACACAATTCACCCCAACCCAGCAAATCACCATCAGCACAGGCATCGGGTTCCTGGACCACATGCTGCACGCGCTTGCCAAGCACGGCGGGATGAGTCTTGCAATCCGCGCAAAGGGTGATTTATACAGTGAGTTCCACCTAACCATCATACACATATCATAAACCCTATATGGAATGCTGCTAACACCACTCAGTCGACGACCACCACACAGCAGAAGATACCTTCCTCGCACTGGGCGAAGCCTTTACAGCGGCCCTGGGTGCGCGCCAATCTCTTGAGCGATTCGGTCGCGGCGATGCGCCTCTTGACGAGGCTCTTTCTTGGGCTGTGATTGATCTCTCAAGTCGGCCGTGGGCGGTTATTAACTTGGGCTTCCGCCGTGAGAAGATCGGTGACTTGAGCACGGAGATGATCACCCATGGCTTGCAGAGCTTTGCGCAGGCTGCGGGTGTGACCTTGCATGTTGGTTGCACTTATGGTGATAATGACCACCACCGCGCGGAGAGTGCGTTTAAGGCGCTTGCTATTGCCATTCGCAATGCTTGCAAGCGTAGGGTTGCGGGTGATGTTGGTGCCGGTGATGTTGTTAGCACCAAGGGTGTTTTGTAAGAGGTCTGGTCAAGGGTTCAGATATATAGATATAAAATTGTGCTATGAATGAGATGAGATGGATATACACCTGGGCAGCATGACCTACTTACTACATAGTACCCATTATAGAGCGGTGCAGTCTGGCTATGAAATGAAACGCAATGAGATCGGGTCTTTTGAATAAAATTTCGTTGCTATTGTATACCATAAATCTAATCCATAATCCATCAATCATTAAATATCAAATACAAATATCCATATTGGCAAAGACAGTAATCAACGCCAACATCGAAGAACCAGCTCCAAGAACACCAATCACAATAATCACAAACCCCAAACCCAAATGCTAACCCTAACACTAACCCAACCATTTAACATCTAAACCCCAATCGCCTTAACAGCCCTCTCCCAATACTCCTTTCGCTCATCAGTAACAGAAGTCCCCACGCAATCCGAGATAAACCGCTGCCACCCCGTTTCAGACCCATCAGCAAGCGCAGCCCGCACCTCCTTCGAGCACTGCGTAGTAAGGAACCAAGCAGCAGAACCAAAGTCTGTAGCAGCGTCGTTGCGTAGGAGATCGAGTAGATCTGCGGGGCTGTTGCTGACGCTAGGGAGTTTGTCTTTCAGATCTGGCAGGGAGGAGGCATATTTTTTGTTGTAGGATGGTGATTGCATATTGCGCGCTGGAAGATAAGAACATGGTTAGTATACATGTATCAAATGTGGATGTTGGATGGGTAAGAGTTAGGGTTACGTACTGCCCTGTCCGGCAACACCCGGGAAATGATTCTTGTTATACTTAAAATCACCACTTTCGAAAGCCATTATGCTGATTATGGCTGCTTGCTCGGCTTTCGATGTTACTTTATAAGTCTCGAAAGCTTGTGAGGTGTACTTTGCGGCTTGTTTTGCTGTGGCGCATTCGTCTTTTGCTGGGGCGTCGGAGCAGGATTTGGATGTTGGGGCGATTGTGATGAGTTGGGATTCGGTTAGGGCGGTAGCGCGGGTGAAGAGGGAGAATGGGATTGGTGTTGCGGTTGTTTGGATGGTGAGTGTTAGGGTTAGGGAAAGGAAGAGGCTTTGGAGTTGCATTTTATAGCTCGTGGGTGGATGGAGTAAGTATAGAAAAAAATGGGTGATAAGTTAACGGGTAAACTATATCACGTAGAGATCAAAAATTGAGGATGAATATGTTATAGATGGATAGTGTAGAAAGGGATCTCGGTTCTGTGCTGGAACTAAAAAGCAGCAAGTAGATCGATTTTATAAGTCCTCGGCCATGTCTGTAAGAGGCAGAAAGTTCATGAAACAAGGGTTTGCATTGTCCAAGGTAGCTGGGACATACAAAGGGGAGGCAGAGGGAAGATATTCCGTCAGTAGTATGTACATTGTAGGCTTGACGCGGAGAATGCTAGGCGTGGACCGAAGTTTGTTGGATGACGGCAGAGGCCAATATCAAGGAAGAACACCAATAATGAACTGACCTGTTTACTAATACAGCATGCTATATTTACATATGTTGTACATACTATCTTTGAAAAAGACCAAAGCCCTAGATTTGATAGGACCACTTGGAAAGCTTGTCGATGCAAGGCACAGTGTTGTCATTGGAGGGAGAAATTAGGGTTTCAGGATCAGGTGCTGTTTGGGGTTGATGTATCAGATTCTCAGACTATAGGGTTATTAAGGGTTGATTACACATATTATAATTCAAGTTTCTCGACTTCAGATATTTACTAATAGTTGAAAGGCATTATTGATTCATCATTCTCCCCGGAGATATTTGATCCGAGTGCATAGAGACATGTCCATAACATTTCACTGTCTCCCGAGAAGCGAAAATCTAACTTGTTTACAAATCAATAGACAAAAAATAATAAAAATAGGGGACAGTGAAATAAGACCGAGACACAGACATTGGTCTGCGCACATGTCCAAAAGCAAACCCAATTGCTCCAGGTGAGCATTCAATCCAGGATCCCGTCACAGGATTGAGACACCATGCATAATGCGCTCCTAAACACAGACAGAAAGAGCAAAAGTTGTACAATAAATGCGGATGCAGAGATCATGTCCGGGGCTGTATCGTTACAGACAAATACACAAGCTGCAAAATGGCGAAGTTGCGAGTCGAGAAGTCGATCTCTAGATCTCTAGTCATCGCGACGCCCGAGTTCGTACGAGGTCTCTGTAACCCCGCCTGACTCTTCATCTTCTTTGAAGCTGACGCGTCGGAGGAGCGTTGGGACTGATAGTCGCGAGCGTCGTGTTGGCGACGACGAGAGTCGCGATGGATTGATGATGTTTGGCACTTTGGAGTAGCGGTAGCGGTACTTGGCTCCCAGGAGCATGACACGTCCGTAGCTCCACCAGAGGCAGAATCCAACGACTCCAGCAAGGAGGAAGCCGCAGATCGTGAGGAAGACCCAGTGTTGACCCATCTGCGAGATGTTAGCATTGTTCCAGATTTCGACACCTGACTCTTGTCACTTACCCAGAAGATCAAACGCGCATCCTTTCCGTGCCAGCTGTTACCCCGGTGGTGGGTGAAGAAGCTCCAAGAGAACTTGTTGTACTCATCTTGCATGAGGATGCGCACGCGCCCAGCCTCGCTTGGCATTTCGCGCATATACTCTTTCCAGATGACAGACAGGAACAGCGGTCCAGTCGAATACATGACGGTGATATATGGGAGGAGCCAGTGGCGATCGTACTGTTGCAGTACTTCGATCGTACGGAGGAAGAATGGGTGCTGTGGTACGGAACCCATGGCGTCATTGGAGATACCGGTGGGTGCAGTGCGGCGTACCCAGGCGGGATAAGCGTTGAGAGGATCCAAGCGACGGTTGCAGCCCTGTTGGGGTTAGAAACGAAACACCCATGGTCTTTTGGGGAGTATACTTACGTCGTCGAGGTCAATGTATGTTCCGCCAAAGTGTGCAAGAATGAAGTATCGAATAGTATCTGCGCGCTGAATAGGATAACTGTAACCATCGAAGGTCTCCAAGAACCAGGGGTATTCGGCGGCAATAAAGTCTCGCGACTTCTCGTTTGTCCAGAGCTAATGACACAGGTTAGGAACGTTGAACTGAAGAGGTCGAATGGGGGACGTACGATATATTCATAATCCGGGTGCAAGTCAATGCAACTCTGTTGGGCCTCTACCCAAACCTCCGGAATAGTCTCATTCTTGTATGTTTGGTGAATGATCTTTGGAATGATCTGGGGGCGGTGCTCGATCAGGCTGGAATTCGGCGAGGGCAGCTCTGCGCGATGTATAGCGTCGGCAGCGGCATCTTCGAACAGGAGTGCCAGAAGCGTTGAGACACTGCGGACGAGCAACGAGAGGATGAGGAGGTTGACGAGGATGAAGATCAAGAGACCGCGCCGCATGATGGCGAAAGACAATAGCTCAAATAGGAGAAGTGTAACCAATTGAGCCCCAACAATTCGTAAAGTCGTATCAAGTTTCACAGACCCTCAGGCCGTAGATAAGGATTCAGAGTATGGAAATGTAGGTCATAGAAAATATTGGGCGATAGAGGAGAATAAAGAGTATTTAAAAGGGGAGCCTAGTTCAACGATAATAAGGAGTGACGGGAGTGGGGAGACTAAAGCTTAAGGAGGAAAGGAGAGACTTGAAAAAAAATGGCAATCCTGAGGCAAAAAAGAAAAAAAAGGTAACGGGGAACAATACGAGACAGCAACCTTGGGAAGGAAAGCTGTTGAGAAGATTACGAGGCTGAGCAGAAGGGGTGGCTGTGGTTCCAAGATTAAGCGGCTTGGTCGAGTTATGATTGGTGGGCTTGTAGTGGGGCAAATAAGGGGAATTTTTTAACCTTTTTTCTTTTCTTTCAATATTGTATGGACGTACTCCGTAGCTTGAAATTGGGCTTGGATTCTACATGACTTGGATGATCTTTTTAAATCGTAGCTCATAGACTATAATATCCATCACAAATACAGCTAATAGAAGTATCTAGAAATGTCTAACTTTTAACCTCGCTAAAATAATCCAAGATTGGCGCAAGGACTCGTCAGCGTATTGTAAATATAGCGTCGTGGGGGAAAAGTCCCCACGCCCAACGCGAGAACAGTGTATTGAACTAGTCCTATTTAGGTATTCTCTTTATTGGTACCTTTCTAAAGCCGAGGCTAGTCTACATCCGCTAGTCTATTAATTAACTAGTTCGTTTAAAAAAAGCGTTGGTACGGAGTATAATTAACGGAGCACGGAAGATTTGACTGTATACTCCGGACTCCGATCTGTACAAAATTGTACATATAAATTTGTGTATTTTCGCTACCGCCACACGTGTGGCGTGCACGTAGACCTTTGATCAGACCTCGGGAACAATACCTCGGGAGTACACTTTACTCCTACGCCCAAGAAGAAAGAACCAAGGAGTCTGCCATCTCGGAAGGTTCATTCTAGCACGAGAGGTAGGAATTGGCACCGATTCGCCAAGCGAATCGCCACATAGGGGACGTGCACGCTGCGATTAGAGGTTACCATTGCCCCCATTATTGGCCTCGTTAGCGTATCCGTATTTGACATTTGGAAATTCCAACTTGTATTGGATAACTTTCAGACCCTTAAAATAATGCTATGCAGACATTGTGTATTCCATTTCCATGGGAACTGTAAGAGCCCCCCATAATCCCTGTTAGTACTAGGAACCTTTGTTACACCCAGAACGGTTCCGAGGTCGTGGCCTGGCAAATTCGCCCACGGTTCACCACGTTGTATGTCGATTAAATCCGAGGTCTGGTACCTCGTGATATCATACCATCAGAGGAGATCGCCACTTTCTCCTCCAGTTTTTTAAAAGATCAGCTCGTGACGTGGGTGGTTTTTGCCCTAATTTCAATATAGATGTACTCGTCTTTATAGCTATAAACCCGCCTATCGTTGCGCAGATCGCCTGCCGTGCCATGCTAACAAGCGGGATGTGGGCGCCAAAAAAAAAACGGCGACGAATTACTCCTTTGGTACAGATTTGATATTACAGTAC